TTTTTTTTGTTTCCAATTTAATTTTGACGATCAAAATGGAAAAAAAAATTTTGGTTGAAATTTGTATTTTTTTATTTATTAAGGTTTCGCATAAGCTGAAAAAATAAAATTTTACATGAATATTCTTCAAAACCTAAGCTATAAAATAATATAAATTTTATGTGCGGGTATTATGTATGTTTTTGGATAATTAATGTAAATAGGTGTCCAAATACTTTTTTCCGGGTAGTGTATTTACTAATAATTAACACTATAATTAACACTATAATATAACACTATAATATAATGAATGGAAATGGTGTCACCCAATTTTATTTCATTTTAGTTAAAAGTTATTTTTTTATGTTAAAATTTCAAGCTGATCGTGCAGATTCTTGCCATTTGATTTCTTGAAAAGGCAATTTCCTCAAACCATTTTTCTAGTAATTTATAATTGTAATTGTAATTGTAATTGTTATTGTTTATGCAATTGTAATTGTAATTGTTATGGAAATTGCTGTTATTGCAATTGTAATAAAAATAAACAATTGCAAAAAGAGCTTTGTTAGTAAACTTTTATTAAACTGAATTTTTTGGGAAGCATGAAAGCAAAACAAGAAAGCGATACATTGTAATGCGAACAATTTTTTTCTGTGTTGATTGCAATTCTTTAAATGATCGACATCAAAAATTTTTTTATTAATTGATGATCCGTGAATGAATGAGAGAATTTTTGTGTGATTGGCGGGGCAAAAATGTAAAAAAATCACCAATCAATAATGTTTAACAAACAATAAAGCACAACGTTTCTGTATTACAAACTTATTCTTTTTATGTTATATATAAAGTAAATCTCATAGATTACTGTATTAAAATATTAAAGGGTTTGGAATGTTTCTTGAAAACTTTTGTATATAGGCCGCTGAGATTTCAAGAAGTCAATAATATATAAAAATTCGGAATTTTTTAACTTTCAGCCAACACTATCAAGTATTCTGACCAGAGTTATGCTCTTTTTTTTATCGGTTTATTAACAAAAAAACTTTTATTTTAATAAAACCCACCAAATGAACCTATGTATTGTTATAAGTCAAGTCAATAAAATAACTGCAAAAGAATTTTAAAGAGGTATTTAACAAGCCTGAAAGAATTCTAAGGTTGTTTTCTATATTTTTTGTGTGTACATGAGAAATAACTTGTGAAGACGGTGAGATTTGGGGTATTTCTCATTTTATTAATAACAATTAGCGACAAAATTTCATAATAAAATGATCGACATTGCACCCATTCATAAACGGATTGCCAATTAAATGTAACTAAAATATGCCACATGAGTTTGTTGCCAAGTTTTTATGATTGTTTTTCTTATTTATAAATAAATTTTTTTAACATAAGAAAGCAACAAAATTAAATCAGTAACAACGTCAATCAACATTTTTGGTCGAATTATGTACATAAGAAAACAACAAAATTAAACCAGTACAATGTCAATTAACATTTTTGGTCGAATTATTTATTTTTTTGAATGAAATTTTGATAGTCTTTTTTTATCCTGTTTTTTTTAATAAAAAAGGGTTTTTAATGTTTGTGAAAATGGTTGCGTTGTGTAATAATTGATAATTGATAATTGATAATTTAATTGATAATTGATAATGATAATTGATCATTCCCTCAAGGAAATTTTTTTGGTACAAAAGTTGTATTTATAAAAAAAAAACAAGCATATAACTGAGAACGCAATGTGAGCCTTTTGCTTTTCGTGTTACAAAACACACATACCGTTCTACATGAGAATAAAAATTCAATTAAGTTGGGTTTTGCGTCTTCTTCGTCACAAAGAGCAAAAAAATGACATCACTCGGGCCAAGGCAATAGTCTATTTTATTAAATTCGAAACATATAAATAGGACAGCTGTCCAACCTTTTTTTTTTTGTTATTTTTTCGTAGAGAAATTCCTCTCAGGCAATTTTAGCGCACGGAACTCAACCTTCTACATTCGGCCACATGAAAATAATTGTTTGTTATTATTATACAACGTTATTACAGGAGAGATCGTTCTGGTAACACAAAATTTTAACCCACGCAATTGTTGATCAAAAAATTTTTTTTTGCATGTAATAAAACTCCATTATTAACTATTAACAATCTAATTATATAGATCTTGACCGATCAAACCCGCCCATATAGTTATTGAATAATTGATAATAATAAAACGTTAAATATATTTTACAAACAGCTTCATAGATCTCGACTTAAGACTTACCCGCCTATATTAATAAACGTTCATTTTGGAAACTTGATTTGCAAATAGATCTTGACTTTAACACTTACTTCTGACAAGCCTGCCTATATAATTATTTGAATAATTGGTAAAGCGAAATCGAGTGGACTTACCCGAGGGTTGAAAAGACCAACAACAACGATGATAAGAAATCTCCACGCAAAGCATTAAAATCCAAACATCTGGATTTTGAGGAACAATTCATGAGTTCCAACAGCAAGAGAAATACCACAAACCATATCAGGGAGTCGGGTAAAAAAAGAAGGAGTGCAGATCATGACCCACAGGAAGAATCAAGCACATCAAGGGCAACGAAACTTACACATACAATGAACGAAGTTGTCAGCAACAATAAAGGTTATACGGATGCAGTAGAAAATTCATACAACATTGAAAATGATGATAATGATAATGAGTGGTAAACGACGACGGTGATGAGTGTTGTGACACTGAATAATTTTTATTATTCTTTGTATTTTTTTTTTTTTTGCAATAAAAATTACGTATATCAAAATTTTTTTTTTCATTCCTATTTGTATTTTTGTTTCTTTGCGAAAGCAAAAAATTCCTTTCCAAAAAATTAGGTTTAAAAAACAAAGATTTTTCGGTTTCAATTGCAATTGCAACACATTACTTTGCAATTCAATCAATTCCAATGCAATTGCAATTGCAATTTATAAAACAAAACATTTTGCTAAATATGGTGAAAACGTTGATCGCGCCAAAAACCGAAAAGATCAGGCGCGGCTAGACGCAAAAAGAGACAATCGGCAAGAAAACCGCATGACTTGTGGGTTTTGGAGGGAGATCATGACACGGAAAATGTTAATTAAAAAATTAATCTATTCTAATGTGATGGTAACATTTGATTGGCCATTCATCATTTTACAATTTACAATTGCAAAATTTTTTAAAAAAAAAAAATTAAATTAAATGGATTCAACAATTTTGGAAAAATATTTCAATGAAAATGAAAGATTATTAAATACAGAAGAATTTTATGATGTAAAAATATATCTTGGTGCAGAGCCAAACATTAAAGAAGTTCATGCACATGCATCCATCATATCTGCTCATTGTCCATTTTTTAACAATGTGTTAAGTAATGCAACAAAAGAAAATGGTTATTATATTGTTAAAGAAGCTAATATCAGTGAAAAATTTTTCAAGTCTATTCTCAAGTAAGTTTAAATTTATTATTATATTATATTGTATTATTTATTTATTGAATATATAATAATCTGTTTAATTGTTGAAAAATTTTTATACACATGTAAACTTGAATCTGAAAATTATACTGGAGTTGAATTATTGGAATTATTAATTGCAACAGAACACTTTGGAATTGAGACACTTTATGAATATATTATGAAATACTTTATTGAAAATCATGAAGATTATATAAAAGAAAATCCAGTTAAAATTTTACAATTGATTTATACTAATGAAAAATTTAATGAATTGAAAAATATTTATTTAGAAAAGTTTTGTGAATATAGTCAAAAATTATTTGAATCAAGTGAATTTGAATTGTTGGAAGAACCAATTCTATTAGAAATTCTCAAAAGAGATGATTTTTCAGTTGATGAAATAATTATTTGGGAAAATATTCTTAAATGGGGATTAGCAAGACATCCAGAAATCAATAATATCAATGTTGAAGATTGGTCATCACAGAATTTTGTTAAATCAGGCAGCACATTAAAAGAATTTCTTTCTTTAATAAGATTTCAGGATATTTCTCGAGATGATTTTTTTAATAAAATTGTACCATACCAAATGCTTTTTCCTAAAGTTTTATGGAATGACATTTTACAATATTATATCTTTCCAGATAGACAACTAGCATTAAATTTATTGCCACCAAGAATTAATTCAACACTTGAATCATTGACAATCAATCAAAATCTTACTTTACTTTTTGCAAGTTGGATTGATAGAAAAAGCCCACAATATAGTTCATTAAGGGAAGTTAAATACGAATTCAAACTTATATATTGTAGTAGCAGAGATGGTTTAAGTGTAGCCACCTTTCATCAAAAATGTGATAATATCAATAAAACTCTTGTAGTTGGCAAAATACAAAATTCAGATCAATTAGTAGGAGGTTATAACCCACTTAATTGGAATTTAAATAATGGAGCTGATATATTTAAGAGTACAACTGAAAGTTTTATTTTCAACATTAGTAATATGAATGACATTAATTCTGGAAGTTTAGTTATGTTGTCAATAATAATTATGGGCATGCAATTCGCTGTCATCCTTCACATTTAGCTATTTTTGGTGGTGGTAGTGATCTTATTTTTGGATCAAGCAGCACCATTTACAGTAATAGTAGCTCATATAATAACATTAATATAGTAAAGAATAGTAAATATGACGAATTAGAAATATTTCAAATAATTGATAAATAATGAAATTACAAAAATAAATTATTTCTTAGCAATAAGTTTGTGTAATCTAATATGGATAATTTTTTATTTAAAGATTATTATATTTAAAAAGATTCCTATTCTTTTCTCAATAATGATAACTTTTTGTATTACATATCTGGACAAAAACATTTGATCACAGAACATATATATTCATAAAAAAACTACATAAAATTTTATATCATTATGTTGTTTAGGTTTGAAGAGTATCTTATAATGTAGCCTTTGTTTATCTAAAAATAAAAATAATAAAGTTTAGTATCTAGCTGGACACCCATTGTTAAAATATATGCTTCTGCCTTTTCTAACAGAGTTTCTCTTTCAGAGCAGCCTCCAATCCCAAAGCATTTTTTGGATGTGCTGCTTGTTTTTTAAGATTTGGTGATTGCAAAGGAAATATATTTATATTTTTTTTCAATCCAATTTTGATTATCATTTGTGACTAAAGATAATAAATATTCCTCTAAAATTCCGATGATTAATCTTCTGCCTATTACTATACTAATAAGGGCTCAGCCCTTTACCACCATGTTTTACTGATTGGGTAAGATTTTCAACATCATGCAGTGTAATTTAGTAATAATTGTCCCGACTAAATAATTTAGTCAGTTTAGCAAGTGCTTATTTGAGTTATGCAACCAGCACTGATCTTTTTGCCAAACATGAGTTTGGTCAAAATATTGTAAATTGAGATTCATTTTCTCCAAACACCATTTCAAATATTTGATTATTCCTATTTACTCTCTTAATTTTTTTCAATCTAAAACCTTGGGCCTTTTGCTTTGTTGAGATTTTTAACATCACCAGAATAATGAGTTATTGTTAATGATCAGCCCTCCACCAGAAAAACATCTCTAAATGCTACCATGTTTTACTGATAGATAAGATTTCAATATCATAATGACGCCCATCTCTGCACCAAACATGAGTTGGTTGAAATATCACTGACTTCCATTTCCTAACACCCCAACTTTCAAATATTTTTCTCTGACAAAAGGGAGTTTACTGTGAATAAAATATTAAGTTTATGGAAATTACTACAAATTGTTTTAATAGAAATTTCTATTCTGCTTGTTTCTCTTTTGGTTAATTCTTTTTAATTTTTTTGATTGGAAATTTTGGGCTTTCTACTTCAATTAATACTTTTAATATAATAATGAATTATTATGTATTGGAGGTCCAAGAGGTCTTCCGTCTTCAAAGTTATAAAGTTTAAAAAAACATCCATTACAAACCAAGTAGATTTTATCACAGTCTTACATGGAATTTTAATACCTTGAGATTCTCCTCATAGAAATCCCACTTAGATTATGACCCAAGGACTTTACCTCTTTCAACTATTATTAATTTTTTCAAAAATTTGATTATTAATAGCAAATTGTTATTTTGGATGTTATTAGTTTTTTGTTTACTAATTTTTTAGACATGACAGAGTTATGAAATTCCACATGTTTTTTATTTTTCCAAATCCACAGCTTTTATTTTCGGTATATAGAAATTGAACACCATACTAATACTGAAGGCAAATGAATAATGTACTGAAGAAAAAAAATGGTATATAGAAAGTGCGTATTGCACCTTTAGTATTGCATTCACCTTGTGGTATATATATAGGGGCGATGTGAATATAAAATTGCCTTCGAACGGTTTTTATTTTTACAAAAATGTTTATTTACGGAGAGTCTATTCCGCAAAAAAGGGAAATATCTGTTCAGTCTAGTTTATTTACATCGCACAGCTTTTTAAATAAATTTATTTTATAGTAACCATTCACCATTTTACAATTAAATTTTTTAAAAAATAAATTAAATGGATTCAACAATTTTGGAAAAATATTTCAATGAAAATGAAAGATTATTAAATACAGAAGAATTTTATGATGTAAAAATATATCTTGGTGTAAAACCGAACATTAAAGAAGTTCATGCACATGCATCTATCATATCTGCTCATTGTCCATTTTTTAGCAATGCTTTAAGTGATGCAACAAAAGAAAATGGATATTATATTGTTAAGGAAGCTATTATTAATGAAAAAAAATTCAAATCTATTCTCAAGTAAGTTTAAATAAATATATTATTTATTTTAATTATTATTGTATTATTCATTTATTGAATATATAATAATCTGTTTAATTGTTGAAAGATTTTTATATACATGCAAAATTGAATTTGAAGATTATTCTGGAGCTGAAGTATTGGAACTGTTAATTGCAACAGATCAATTTGGCATTGAGTCACTTTATGAATATATTATGAAATACTTTATTGAAAATCATGAAGATTATATAAAAGAAAATCCAGTTAAAATTTTACAATTGATTTATGCTAATGAAAAATTTATTGAATTGAAAAATATCTATTTAGAAAAGTTTTGCAATTATAGTGAAAAATTATTTGAATCAAGTGGATTTGAATTGTTGGAAAAACCAATTTTACTAGAAATTCTCAAAAGAGATGATTTTTCAGTTGATGAAATAATTATTTGGGAAAATATTCTTAAATGGGGTTTGGCAAAACATCCAGAAATCAATAATATCAATGTTGAAGATTGGCCATTACAAAATTTTGTTAATTTAGGCAACACATTAAAAGAATTTCTTTAATAAGATTTCAAGGGATTTCTAAAGAAGACTTTTTTAATAAAATTGAACCATATAATCTGCTTTTTCCTAGGACTCTATGGAAACCACTTTTACAGCATTATGTATTTCCTGATATACAACAAACATTGAGTTTATTACCATCAAGGAATCCTAAATTTGAAATTTTGAATTCAACACTTGAATCATTGACAATCAATCAAAATCTTACTTTACTTTTTGCAAGTTGGATTGATAGAAAAAGCCCACAATATAGTTCATTAAGGGAAGTTAAATATGAATTCAAACTTATATATCGTAGTAGCAGAGATGGTTTAAGTGTAGCCACCTTTCATCAAAAATGCAATAATATCAATAAAACTCTTATAGTTGGCAAAATACAAAATTCAGATCAATTAGTAGGAGGTTATAACCCACTTAATTGGAATTTAAATAATGGAAGTTATATAGCTAAAAATACAACTGAAAGTTTTATTTTTAATATTAGCAATAGAAATAACATTAATTCTGGACAGTTTAGTTATGTTACTAATGATTATCAATATGCAATTCGCTGTCATCCTTTATATTTAGCTGTTTTTGGTGGTAATAATGATCTTCTTTTTTATCCAATCAGCACCATTTACAGTATTAGTTGGTCATATAATAATATTAATATAGTGAGTGGTAGTAAATTTGATGAATTAGAAGTATTTCAAATAATAAAATTACAAAAATAATTATTTTGTTTTACTATTTTACCAATAAATTTATATGTATTATAGTTAATACGGATATTTTTTTTAAATAAAGGTTATTTTATTTTAAAGGCTACTTAATACTCTTCTCTCAATAATAATACTCGTCATACATAATATATTCCATTCATTCAACAATAATTCAAATAATAATATTGTATAATGGACATAAAAAATGATTTTTATCAAGTAACGTGAGCAGTATGTTAAATTCAAATTTAGGGAATGTTAGTGATGTAAGAATAAGTTCTACGAATAATAAAAAAGCTTGTTACCAGAGTGGATTGTAGTTGATTCCTTGCCTTTTAATGTATTTGCTTCAAGAAAAGGTTTCAAGAGATTCATTCATAAAGCAGATTCATCAAGGTTCATGCTCCATGTTACAAATTAAAGATTTAACCCTTAGTTGTGGACTGCAAGATCTAAATTATGATACATAGGATCGGGGTAACTTACCATTGGCCTTCACCAAATTACTAATTATTTGACGAATTGCTTGCTAAAGTCGAGTTTATACATACTTAGTTCGAGCCAACTCGAAATTTAATATTATTTTCTTTTTTATAAAATCACGATAGTTGAATTTTAGCATCATCATCAATGACAAACTAAAATTTTAAAAAATTTTTTTTTAGATGAAACACAGTTAAACCTCGTTTCAACTAATCCGTGCATTTAAAATTTATACCAAAATTACGTTTCAATGTTTTTAAAAACTCGTTGTAATTATAACAAGGTTTAACTGTATGAAATTTCACAATATGGAGAATTAAAACGGAATGCAAAAACGTTTTAGAGTTTCTAATTCGTGGTAGTAACATTCGAATTATTTGTTTATTCGTTTTATTCAAATTATTCGTTTTATTCGAATACTTAATTCATAACAAATAAAACAAATAATTCGAATAAACCTTATTCGAATAGAAACTACAAGTTGAGCAAGCTCGAGTTAAAACTTGAATTTTCAAGTTCGAGCTGAATTCAAAAAATAGACTCTTTAAATTGTTTTTTAGGTAATAGATTGCATTAAATAAAATAAAACCTTATGAAATAATAGGATAATAATTCGTTACCTGAAAAATCAAACTTGAACCGCTTCAGCTCGTTCAGAGCTTTACTTTCCACTCGCAATTTAAAGTACAAGAAGAAAATTCAAGATCATCATTACAACAAACAAAAGTTACTCCTTTTTTTGAATCCATTTTTGATAATCAAAGTGACAAAGAATTTTCTCAAGTATTTGGATATTCAATTAATACAACCTTGGATTTGAATTTCCAATTCTTTCAACCATTGAAGGAAAATTGCAATATCAGCTACATCTAAAAAGAACAAGATTAGGATCGATGAGGTCAAAAATCGAAGAAATGGATCTATACTATTTTAAATAAATATTTATCTTTTTCGTTCAACCGTTAATGGAGCAACTTCAAAATAGAAAGATTTATCATCCTGTAGGTTGAAATCTTGCATTCATTGCTGGTGATAAGAGTGTAAAACATATCCATTTGCATTTTGCTCCTAAGAAAGATCGTAGACATTACTGGGTGAAAGAGGAAGAGTTTGTACCTATTGCCAAACAAATGCCAAGAAAAACTTGAAATTAAACCAGGAATAATTGGAGAAACTAATAATTGCATTTCCCAATTAGCTTCTCCGGAAGGACCTTTAACCAAAGAACACATATCGTCAATTCTAAAAAAGCTATCAAAGAAAACCTGGGATCAAATTGGTGAGCTTCTTTTAGATGATGCAAAGATAAAGAAAAAAAATCAGCGATCTAAAAACTCTGTAGGTTAACATTATCCTGGGCAAATGACTTGAATTGGACAAACTGATTACTGGGGTTTCAGGTTCATATAATTCCTTGATTTGCTTATGTCAATTATGTTCCAGGAGGCTACGTACGAGGAAAAAACCAGGTGGAGGATAAAATAGATTTTAGAAAATTAGAAATCAGAGAAATAACAAGAAACAAAGAGCAGTAGGTTATATTTTTGGTTTGGTTACCGTGGAGGCTATTGAATAATTAAAGGATGTGTGTAAAAATAAAACATTCAATCTAGATGGTCACATTTAATACTATTACTATTACGATTTTGAACCCTAAAATCCTTTGTAGTACAAATGTTCACTTGGTTTTGTTTGCTCCATATAATAGCAACACTATTACTATTACTTTTATTGTAATGACAATCTAAACATCAACATATATGTATGTATGTATTCATCTTATTTCTAATTATCATTATATAATGAATCTTCTTTCCTTGCACGACATATCATTCATTACTAAAAAGGAGAAACATATCAAAAAAAGTATAAATTTTTTATTATATTATTATTTATATTTTTAAATTTTTTTTTCTTTTTTTAAAAAAAAATCAATTGTCTAAATACCAGATTTTTATATGCGTGTATATACATATACGATTTTTCTTTGATTTTTTAAAAAAAAATTAATAATTAATACAATTAATTAAAGCAATTTTCTTTTTTTTTTATATATTTCAATTTTTTTCTATTATAATTAATTAAAATAATAATAATAATAAGTTGAATTAATAAAAGAGTGTAAAAATATATATATTTATATTATATTATTATCATCATTAAAATTTTTTAACAAAAATTCTATCTATTAATTAAAAAAGTATTACACAAAAAATAATAATAATAATAAAAAACCAACTTTAAAAATAATTGCTATACAATTAATGATTGAAGTAGTAGAAAAATTAATTGGTTAATTGTATTTTACATTTGAAAATTGTATATGAGAAAGTTGATAATTGATGGAGATTTTTCTCCAAAAAAAAAATAAAAAAAATTTGTTGAAAAAAAAAACAAGGAAAAAAAAAATTTTTTTTTTAAAGTAGCAGAAAATAGAAAAAATAATGTTTTTGTTTTATTTATAAATAAAGTAAAAATTAAGAAGTAGAAAATAATTAAAAAATTATCTAATCCAAAATGAAATAAAAAGGAAAAAGAAAATAAAAAAAAGATTGTATTATATTAAGTTGGTGTAATTATGTGTATAAATTATGGTGTGATTGTTGTTGAATGAATGGTAATAGTTAGAATGAGGGAAAGAGAAAAAGGGATGGAAATCTAAAGTTAAAAATAATTTGGCGTCCTTGAACTTTTGCCCCTTGAGATTTTTTTTCTTGAATTTTTATTTCCTGGTCAACCTGAAATGATTAATGATGTTGATTTTGATTTTCATTGAGATAAAAGATGATTTCGTTGGTTTGATGGATGATAGGTGGATATATTTGGATAAGTGGTAGTGGTAGGTAGTATTGGTTATACAGTTGGATTAATGGTAGTAGTTTTGTTTTAAGATTAATTTATATATAGTTTTGAAAAGAAAATTAGAAAAATATAGATTAGATAAAAATATTATTATGTTATGATTTTGTGTATATGTATGTATATATATTGTTATCCTACAATTGCTATCTATATATTAATTAAGACTAATAATAATTTATAATAATAAGATCTTTAAATTGTTCCTCTTTTCTCTCCCGCATTTTTCCATAATTTAATAATAATTCGTATATATATATATATATATATATATATATATATACTCTCCGTACAATCAACAATATATATATCTATTTTAAATCACGTCAATATACATATAGTGTGTATATGTAGATAGGTTTTTATTTGTTTTCCCTTCCCAAAAATAAGTTGAATTCTACATACGCGAACAATAGATGAACACGTATTATATTTCAGATTGGTATATAAATAAAAACTGAAATAACACAAAAATAAAAAAAAAAATAACAAAAGAAAAAAAACCAGAAAGAAAATATTTTCATTTCTTTTTTTTTTTTTCAAAACAATTTGAACATGATAATAATAATAATAATAAATAATTAAAAACTTAGCTACACATACTACATGTAATAACTCCAATCAATTTTTGTAAAAATCCTTTTCTTCTATGGGAATTTGAATCTGCCGGATTGTTTCCTTGAACACCCGATGAATTATTTATACCGCCATTTCCACCGTTCATTACAGGTCGGCCAGAATATGCATTTATATCATCCATTCCGGAATTCATGACCGCAACACCGCCGGTATGTTTTTGTGGTTTACCACCAGCTCGTTGTGGTTTTGTGTTTGATGAATGGATTAGAGCAGGTGAAGGTTGTGTTTGTTGTTGATTATTACGGTTCACTGATGATCCACGATTAAGCGAGGATCGATGATTATGATTGCGTGGATCGGTATGATATTGATGATGGGAGGGTTGATGAATTGCACCTGTTGTACTATATTGCTGAGAGGAACCACCGTGAAGTGTTATGTGAGGGTTAGTGTCAGGATTGAGTGTGTTATCATCTTTCCGCTATTGACATGCATAACAATTAATATACAGATCAAAAAGCGAAGAAGATTAAATGGTAGATAACAACACATACATATATAACATATGTGTACATGTGTGGATATATCTATTATTTGATATAAAACAAAACTTACAATGCTTGCCTCCCAGCCCCTTCCACCATTTAATAAATTCCAATCGTAAACACCATCTTCAACTTCACTGAGATTTTTTAATACTTTTGTAAAAAGTTCTCTCAAAAAATCGTAATCAGGATTTTCTTCAAATCCAAGTTTACGAACGTAATTTAAATAAATTCCAAATTCCTCTACAAATAAACAAGTATAAATTAGATTAATGTAAAGAAATATATGTACATAGATATATATTCATATATTTGTGCGTGCGTGTGTGTGTATATATATATATATATATGCACATACCTGGAAATCCTTCACATAATTCTTTAATTGGAGTTGTTTGTTTTTTTTCACCGATTTTCTCATATTTTTGTTTATTTGTAGCAGCTTTGAGCCCTTGCCAT